GGGGTTTCCCTGACCATAATACAGCTGCTGAGGAGCAAGTCGGTGTGCCCCTGGATGAAATCCTGGCATTCCTGAGGTCAGTGATGATATTTCACTAGCTACTCGGATATGGGCAAACTGTGTCTAGACACAAAGAAGAACCCATCAACCAATCAAGATTCACTAATTGATTTCCTAAGAAACCTCAAATATACATTAAACCTCTCATTGAATTTGTGGATTTACAATAACAAGAGGCCATGAGAACCATTTGAATCAAGTAATGTAATGTAGTGATTCAAAGGGTTCTCGATGTCTTACACACAATTTTCTTATCTGTACTCTACTCTGCCATGTTTGTGTTCGTCAGGCCGTTTCTTGAATTCATTCAATTAGATATTAATGCAAATGAACTATAACTACGTAGCATTCCAAAAGAAGAAGAATCCCACCTGTAGCTGGGCCTTTCTTTCTTCCTTGCGCTGGGCAACAGCCACATACAGAGGCTTCCTTCCTTTCATCTTTCTATTCATTTCATTTATCTAAAAAACACATTAAAAGAGACATAAAAATAAGTTCCAATTTCCATTCATATTCGGAAAATAGAACCCATAAGTGGATCACAAAGGAATGAAAACTTACGGCTCTAGCTGCATCATCTGGTGAAGAAAAGGCAACAAAACCAGTCCCCTTGCTCACTCCATTTTCGTCAAGCATAACCTGGCTCATCATCAAACAGATATCTAAGCAAAAATCAACAATGGAATTTAGAAGAAGACGCAACAAAGATCGTCGAAAGAAAAACGAAACGAACCTTGCATGATGTGATTGTTCCATACTCGGAGAATAATTCTTTAAGCTTCTCATCATCAATATGGTCATCAAGATTTTTGATGTACAAATTTGCGCCTTGTAATTTATCAAATCTGATCTTTCTATCCCGTTCGAATTTTTCTTTCAATTCAGCCTCCCTTTCTGCTTTCCTTTGAGCCTTGCCTACGTACAAAATCTTGTCCTCACCAATGAGGGTACCATTCAGCTTTTCAACTGCAGCTGCAGCAGAGTCTGTGCTCTCAAAGTTCACAAAACCAAAACCTTTGGACTTTCCATTTGAATCGGTCTTAACAACTGCACTAGTAATGGTACCATGTACACCAAACAGATTTTTTAGGCCATCGTCCATCATATTTTCTGGTAAATTTTTTACGTAAACATTAGTAAATTGTAATTCATTTGCTCGCATCCTATCCTGGCGTCGAATGAAATGGCCAACATATACTTGCTTGTCATTGAGGAGCATGCCATTCAACTTTATTATGGCACTTTCGGCTGCTTCCTTGGTATCAAATTGCACAAATCCATAACCTTTGGATTGACCATTGCTATCAAGCGCAACTTTACAAGAAAGAACAGTACCGAAAGAAGCAAATGTATCATGCAATGCTTTGTTATTAATTGATGCGTCCAGATTTTTGATAAAAACATTTGCATAGCCACTTTTCCGAATGCTAGGATCTCGATTTGAGATCATAATCCTGATAGGCTTCCCGTTAATAGAGGAGAAATTCAAGTGTTCCATGGCAGTCATAGCTGAGAATTTATGAAATGAAACAAGAAGAGGTTCAATATATAAGTTTGTATCACAAGATCGTTTAAAAACGTATATCCAACTAATGTTTTGCAAACTATAAAGTTCATAGCTGCATGAATGGATAACTAAAAGTTGAAGAAACACAATCATAAACTTAATATCCTGTAAATGCACAGTTCACAGTGTTAGTTCACTACGTGTGAAAAAAAAAAAAAAGTTAGAATATGAGTGTGTAAATTCTAACATTTAATTCATTCCAGATTGAAAAAAAAATTAACAGAAAATCTGGGTTTCAAAATTTAAGGTTGAACTTGAATAGGAAATACAACAGTTGATTTTGGTCCGGTTGAAACTATTTCTATGAAATTCTTTTTTAATGTTAAATTCTTCCAAACTGAAATCGAAACTCAGAGTTTGATCATTAAAAATGAATCCAAAGAATGTACAGAAACAAAGACATCAATCCTGTCGAAACCAACTATTCCCCATTAATTATCTATTAAGATCATATGAAACTTGAACGAATCATCTGAAAGATGGCTTTCTGTTTACGTTTGGTTGTGTGCAAATTTTCAGCAATTAACAAAAAAAATTTAAAAAGTATTTAAAATTGAATGAGAATAAAATAATTTTCAATTTTCATTTCTCAAATGCAATTGTCTAAGCAGACTCAGAGGAAAAAAAAAAACACAAAAGTACAAAAATCAAAGCGTATTATCAAGAAAACAGAGAAAAAAACACAAAATAAACACAATGAACGAAAAAGAAATGAAAAAGAACGGAATAACGAACCATCTTGATGATTGCTAAAATTAACATAAGCATATCCAAGCGATACCCTGCGTGCCTGATCCCTGCAAACCCTAAGGGAGACAACCTGAGCCACACGGCTAAACAGTTCCAAAAGCTGTGCCTCGTTCACGTTATGCTCCAGATCGCCCACATACAATGAAGAACTCAAAAAAACTTCTCCAGTGGCCACAGAGCCCACCGGAGGAGGAATGACCGCCGTTTGAATCGGAGCAGAAATCACTGGTGCCGGAATCATAGCCGCCATACCGTCTCAGAACAAAAAAAAAACCGGCGAAAAGAAGATCAGATAGTTGCCTAAAAGACTAAAAGTCGAAGGCAGATTACCGACTGTGATCGAACAGGCGAAGAAGACCACAAGAACACTATATTTATACCCTCTAAGATGGAAAATCGAAGCCTTATTTTTTGGGTTTCCCTTCCTCTCTTCCTCTCTCCTTTTCTTCTTCAGTTCCTCTAACACTAACAGCAAGAAGTGTGACGTGAATTCGAACGTAACTAACGTATTTATAGGAAGAAAGAAGCGGGAGGTTTTCGAAACGGTGCGTTTAGGAGAGTCTGACGTGTCATCCCAGCCGTATCTTTCATCACGTTGTTGAGGGGTTTTCGGTCTTTTAAATATTCTATCATCCTATTTTAACTAAGTCAAATAAAATATCTAATATTTCAAATTCAAATTTTATTTTATCAAATCTTAACTAATTCAATTATCTAATAAATCTCTAACTTCAATTTCAAATCTTAACCAATTAATAAAAATCCTTAATAAATTCAAAATCTTTTTAAAATAATTTTAAATTTTGTGTTTTATATTTAAAAAATATTTAATATTTTTAGTTTAAATTTTGGATTTTGTATTTTCTTTAATTTGATTATTGGATTATAGTATTTTTGAATTAAAATATTCAAACTATTATTATTTATATATTTTTTATTTTTACAAATATTTTACCAATATATAACATATGTCTGATATATTTTTAATTTATTAAAAAATGATTTTTTTTTAGTGAAAAGAGAATAAAATATAATTATTATTGAAAAGCATGAATTTTAAACATTACATTGAAAAAAATTATTATTTTATCTATTTTAATTAACGGTTAACTTGATATCTAGTTTTAAATAATAAAAAATAATTTAGATATAATTTTTGTTAAGAATTTAGATATAATTTCTTACTTACATATTAATTAGTTTTATCAAATAATAATGTTTTTAACGGTTTAAAATATTATTATTAAAAAATAATTGTAAATTAGTTTAAAGTATTTAAAACAAGAAAAAAAATTCAGAAAAAACGTTTATATTTTTATTTGTATACATAATACTTACAAATTTATATTAAAATTAGTAGAAATCTCTAACAAATTCAAAATCTTTTTAAAACTAATTGAAATTTGTAACAAATTCGAAATCTTTTTAAAATTAATTGAATTATAAAGTAATTTTAAATTTTGTGTTTTGAATTTTAAAAAATAAATAATTTTTGTTTATTTCAAGCTTTTTATTAATTTATATTTTAATATTTTTTAGTTTAAATTTTGGTTCTTATATTTTCTCTTTTAAAATAGTTAATTTTATTATTTGAATGAGTTAAAGTAATATTATTGAATCAAACTATTTAACTTTATTTTTATTTATATATTTTATTTTAAAAAATATTTTACCAATATATAACATATCTTTAATATATATATTAAATTTAAATAATTTTTCAAAATATCATTTAAGAATGATAATTGTAAATTAGTTTAACGTATTTAAAACAAGAAAAAAAAATCAGAGTTAATTATAAAAAAAATCTCAACCACCAATATAATTATTTAAATAATAACAATATGATTTTTAAATTTTAATTATCAAAATACTTTTTTTAATTTAAATTTGTTGGCTTTTTTTTAGGGCTGATCGTAATTCTTTTTTCCCTAAAATTGTTCATTTTCATTTTCATTTTTTTAATTAAAATTTTTAAATCACAATTCATTCACTAATTATTTTAAAATGCTACACAATAATAATAATAATAATAATAACAATAATTATTTGTATTTACAAAAATAAAACACTCATTTTTAACTTTTATTTTAAATATAGATTTTTATTTTTGGAAGTAGTTTGTTAATTTTAGAGGCGTAATTTAATCTAATAATAAAATTGATTTTATTAGAGTCGCTCCACTTTTTTTAACTTATGTGGTAATGATGTGATTGATAAAAATATGAAATGTTTAAATAAAAATACATGGGTTTTTAATTTTTTAATTATTTTTCAAACATGTTAAAGCAAGAATATATATATGAATATAATTTCTCATATATATATATATGAATATAATGTTTTGAACAGGTAAAGCATGAATATATATATGAATATAATTTCTCATCTATCTATTCACACCTTTTAATTATTTATTATCAAATAATAATATTTTAATTGCTTAAAATATTATTATTAAGAATATAATTGTAAATCAGTTAAAGTATTTAATATAAGAAAAAAAATTGGGAGTTAATTTAAAAAAAAAAAACCCTTATAATTTTATTTAGTACAAAAAAATTTGCTTGTCATTTTTTAAAATTTTAATTAGTTTATGAGAAAATTATTTAAACTCGAAAAATAAAGCCAATAATTTGTTATTTATGTCAATTTAACTAAAACGAAGTTGTTATAGTAGCATTTCAATAATAGTATTAATCCTAGAGACTAAATATAAACATGGTAGCATTTGGACGAAATTACCCTTCAAATATCATGACATCTTATGGATTCTGCTCTTAATGTAACATTTTCGATACGTACCAAATCGAGCTTAAGCCATCTAACTTCTGCTTATGAGCACGACGTTCTCTCATATCTTCTTTCTGACCTACCATAAACAAATTACAAGATGCAAGTAAGAAGCACGGATAAGTTTTTACCTTTATTAACCCAAAAGGCTAGGTAGAGGACAACCATTATCATCATTTCCTAAACAGAATCAAAATGGTAATTGTTATATAGAAATAGTTTTAAGCAGTTAAAACAATCGAATGAACCATGGTAAGAGAGTGCCCTCGCACCACTCCCAACATACTTTCCTTTCAATATTCTATTCTAACGTACTTTTTAAAATATTCACAAACAAGTGAACTCAACCCAACCCAATTCAAATAAGTGATGAAATTTCTTTTTGTTGTTCAAAATGTTATAAACTATCCGTGCCGGTAAGAGTTCACATTCATAAAATTAGATAAATCAAACTACAACTTAGGTTTGTCCGTTATGTTTTTGAAATTTATGCTTGTTTATCATCATTTTCATTTTTTCTTAAAGAACATTCGAATTCAAATTCTTAGGCAAATTTTTAGTTTTCAAAACTTGGTTAAGGAAAGCTTATTCTTAGTTTAAAAAACAAAAAACAAATAGATATAAGAAGAAGAGTGGACTTGCCTGTTGGAATTTTTGAATAAAACAAGGTATGCTGGATCTTCGGAGTTGAGCTTGAATAGCTCCTTAACAATGAAAGGACATGAAGAGGCGCTGAAATATTAGAAGGATCACACTGTCAGTACAGATAGATAAGCCCAACTGAGTATACCTTTGATTATAACTTATCAAACTAAGATCCCTAAAATGCATACAGAAAGAATTTCTACCTTTTTCTTTTGACAAATAAAGTATATTAGGAGATATGATAAATACAGTCATTAACACAATAAACTAACAAACCCCGAACAATTTTAGGATTCATTGAAAATACAAGACTATTCACCAAGGCCCATGTGGACAGACAAATACAGTCATTAACACAATGTGTATCCCTCCGGCTAGAACCTTTATCCCTTCCTAACAATTCAATTGATTAGAAACACATTTTCTCTACATCCTTCAAAGCGTCAAGGTCTTCTTGAGCATCTTAATATTAATGAACGTAAGAATGCACTGATGTGTATATATGTGTGTGTGTGTGTGTGTATAGAGAGAGAGCTGAGAAATGAACTTAAAACGATCGACCGTGGAGAAAGAATGTACCACTATTTCCTTGACCTATGGCAGGTTCCAAATGCAATAATAAAGACAGATATGCGACTTTTCCAACAAAAAGTGACACGTTACCTCCCAAAGATTATGAATAGAGCTATCCACAAGAGTGCAGTAAGCCAAGATTCTTCTTTATAGAACATCCAGACCTAATTTCATATGGAAAGACGAAAAACGTTATTCGGCTTTTAGATGACCGATGAAGTCATGAAAACAACTATCAAGAAGTGAAGCTTCTTCTGAATTCTGAATGTTCGGGTTAGCTTCAACAGTTCAAACTAGAGGCTTTGTTAACAGGGTACAATCTTTGGCATCTTTAGTTAGAAAGAAACAATAGATTCTTCAATGATATAGAATAGCCAAAGATATCCATCATGACAATATAATTTTTATTGGCCTATCTTGGTGTAAATTATGCCCTTTGACTCTTTAGAGATATAATCTTGCTATTACATTCACTATTAAACTCTCCGGGGGAGAAAATTCCTAAAGAAAAGGTTCGCCTATTATAGCTTCTTCAGCTTTAATTGTGGGTAGTAGAACAATCTTATTTTGCTACTAAATTCATCATGTTGCCCCTTAAAAGTTCTTCACCACAAAGAGATGCATGAAGGATGAAACTTATTGAGTGCGTGCCTCCTACCAAAAAGGTGGTGCATCTAACCATCTAGAAGCGACGAGTGTAAATGATGAGGAATTTAAGACATACCGATAAAGCTGTGCCATTTATATAGAAATCGATCAGCGTGGCCACCATCCAGCTGCAAATGTTCTAACAGCTTGTTAACCTCTATAACAAGATAAATACTGCATAATATCGGTTAAAGAGGTTATTATATCAATAACAGGAAAAAGTGTAATGATTTATGCAAAATCTGTTCAAAGCAAAATCCAGAAATTGCATATACAGTGGTGATCAATGAACCTTCCTAGTATCCAACAAGTCAAGGAAAAGTCATAAACACCTTGTTTTCACTAATCAAATCCTGGTTGTTGTATATCACACTAACAAAAAGGTGCAATTACTATTATGTAAGAATATGAATGGTAAATTACTTCACTTTCCAAGGTTTAGATATCAACACCGTCGTTTTTTTTTCCCCTATAACGAGAAAACATCATTTCAAAGCATTAGCACTTAAAAGGGCAATCAAATTAAGGAAGAAATAAAAGCAGAAATTACGGTGTATAAAGCTCCTTGCGAAAAGGTGAACCATCGGCGAAAAGAAAGACCAAAGCTACCACCATCAAACAACCCAATGCACCGAAAACTATTTTTGCAGTCAAAATATTGGAGTGCTTCTTATGCTGCTGCATGTCATTCCTATATATATAAGCCAACAAGAAAATCATGATAAGGAAACAGAATGATAAAGTTTCTCAAAGTCTAGAAGAAAGAATAACCATAGCATCGGATGCTGAATTTATTTATTAACCGAGTGAGTTGAAAGAAAGAAAAAACTTCTTTCATTTCATTTAATTTCTTAAACACATGAGAAAAGAAAAAAGAATGGACTTTAACTATGCAGTAGAATAGTCAGGAAGAACGTAAAAAGAATTCCAAATAGAACATATGAAGGAAGATTTCTGATGGAATTGACCATTTAAGAGACCTAAGACTCACAGTACATACTAAACTAGGCTTACTGCATACACACTTGTTTGGATTCTTGCTCAGAACATTGTACACAATATCTTCAAATGATTCCTGAGATGATAATTGCCACAACGGCCAAAGAATGTAGGCACAGGTAGCGATGCTGAGGAAAATGATAAGGGTAAAGTTAATCAGATCTAAAAATTAATAAAATGAAGATTCAATCTGCAAGGATTACTAGTAAAAAAAACTGCAACTTCTTCTTGAAATAAAGTAGCCCATGCAGAAACAACTTCGGTCTTAGTAACAAGTAAGAGTTTGGAAATCAAACTCCAACAAGAAAAATTGATTCAAAAGAACTCATCAGTGCTATAAACACTAATATATCCTATGGTTAAACAAGCTTTAGGCTGGAAGGTGAGCTTGACAAGGATACGAAGTAATTACCTGCCTAGACATACAAGAAAAACTATCCAAATCGCTGCAGCAATCCAGTTTGATTCCTTGTAGCAAACCCATGCCTAATATATTAGAGAGAGCGAGAGAGAGATTACCGTGAGTGCTTAACCACATATGTAAGATTAATTCTACAATTTATGAATCGTTCATGATATTTTGTATTCATCTAATTTTACCCCTCTAGATCATGTTAGAATAAGGACAGCCTTACTTTGACCTGGCATGTGGCCTTAAAATTCAGTTTATTTACTATTTAGCTTAGAGTTTCATCTAGAGTTACATATGTATGGTCCAAAAGCATAACATGGTTTCGGTCGGGTTAGATTAATATCAAGGTTTCTCATTGTTTACATTCATCAGACTTGATACGAACACAACTTCTTTCTTTTTCCTTGAGATTGGCACAACTTCTTGTCCTTAGAAATTGCATGGCTAGAACATTCAAGTTGGTTTCGCCCATCTACTCCATCTTGGATCTTTGATCGTCGAGGTAATCCATATCTATCACTTCCCTTGAGATTGAAACTAAATTGGCTTTGGGGTTCTAGAGTGTTCGCTTCAATTTGTTACGGGTTTCTTATCAAAACTCATAATCTTCATATCGAATACAATTAAGTGAAATAAACAGGGCTTTTTGCCCCAACCCAAATGGTCTAGCAGCTCCATTCACCACATAAGAGGTTAAGCTATAGAAACAACTAAATGTACTCAAAGTCAAAATTTTGAAACATATAAAAGAGTAAGAAAACTTAATTGTTTCATACCGCAATAACTATGACGTTGAAATAGAAATCAATCAATGTCACCACCATTAACCTGAAACATATTAAGTACAAACGTAACTGAAAAGGTCCAGATTTGTAGGAATAATAAGATAGAGAAAAACTAATAGTTAAGAAGGTGAGAAAGCGGCACCCATTTCCAGGAGTCAGAACCATCAAACATATAATTATAACAAGATTTATTATGGAAAATAAAATTAAGCTTCAATATTAATCCCATGCTGAGGATTGCACAAGAATGAAGGCAAGATTCAAATCTTCTTCTCAGTACATACTTATTCAAATTTATTTTTATACTTTGGAATATTTTAACTTGATCATTTTCTTCCAAGTAACAAAAAAAAAAAAAAAGGCAATAAATGTGAAGTGAAATTTCGAACCGTTAATCCAAAAAATAATATAGGTGTCATGACCACTTAGCAAATATGAAACCGGTGACCAAATTTATGTTGAATACATGAAGATTCAATGAAAACCCAATCTGGATATTTCACAAATTCAGTGACAAAAAAAAAGCATATTGTGGATTCTTGGAAAAAAAATTTGAAATATCATTTTAGTCTATGTGCTATCAAATCTTTAAACTAAGGCTTTTGTGCTATCTAAAATTAATAATTCGTTCTTATTATTAGTTTCAAGTTAATTGTTATCAAAATTAATAGGTTTCCATATAAGATGAGATAGGACGCAATGTGAATATATATTTTCAAAATCATCAAGACTGAAATTGTTAAAAATTGACCAAGAAACTAAATGTAATAATTATTAAAGGACGAAGCTAAATTTAGATGTTTAAGGAGACTGAATTTGAACGTTTGTGAGCGACTAAAATCGAACAAACAAGTACCAAAAATAGAACAAACTTCAAAAACCGATCAACAAAATAAGTTTAGAAAAATACACCCAAACAGCCCTTAGTTTCATGAACAAACCTGAGTGTTCTACTTTAGCAAAAATTATTTGTAATTCAGTATACCCGCCAATTATACAAACATGGTTCCATCTCAAAAATTATCTCAAAATCAATTGGTAGTGAAACAAGCAACCTATAGATCTTATTAACACTACCGACCATCCCCAATATCACTCAACCTATTGATTTCTGGCATTTTCACCCGCTTTATAGTCAATATAGTTACTCCTTTAACCACTGTATTACTTAGACCGCATAAAGAAGACGTCGATGCACATTCAAGACCGAAATATACACAAGTGATCGCTAAAAACGTGAAACGAGCAGCTGAAGCAGCTCAATTCTGTATGTTGAAGGGGGGAGGGGCGAAGGCGGACAGGTAGCAAGACGAAGAAGGACACGGAATGACAATAAACAAAGTGAAAAACGTACATCGGAGAATAGAGAGTACCGTGAGAGAAGTTCTCTGCGGAAAGGAGAGCCATCAGTGGCGAGTGTGTATCCGAGAGTTGCAACCATCGTGCAGCCCAGTAGAATGAACAGAATCCTCCATCCGATTACCGCCGAGCTCGCCATTAGAGACGCAGTGATACAGAGAGCGCGGGGAGTAGTAGAAGGACGAGAGCAACCGCGGGAGTTGAAGAAGACGGACGTTAGTGGAAACTGCGTGTCCACGTGGCTTCTTTTCATCCGTTTCATTTCTTTGGACAGGAATGCAACTAATTATATTAATTAAAGTTTATTTTTTTAAAAATCTAATTAAATTTACACGTTGATTTTTTTTTTCTTTTCTAATCCTCTAAATTTAATTTCTATATGTTTAATCTTGTTTACATAAATAATATAAATAATACAAAAAAAAAAATCCAATAAATTTAGAAACAAATTTCAAATTTTAATAGTTAAAATTAAAAATTTTTATATAGTCTAAAATTTAAAATTTAAATTTAACCTTGGCATATGACAAAGATACATCGATCTTGGAGTAAGTTAAACCGCTCTAACTTCACTATAACGTATATTTAATACACAAGACATCCATATTTTTAGATCTACATTGGTAGCCACATCCCGACGATCTCATTGAATAATTTGTTGATAACCCAACCTGCCATAAATTAAGATGCATGTCAATCGAAACTAATCTTAAACAAGTCAACCCTCTACAATAGTTCAAATGAAAATTTGAACAGTTTTATGTTCCAGTTCAGATACATATCTCCTTTCTCGTATTCATTTTAGGGTTTAAATAAAATACTTAAAAAATGTTCATTTTTGTTCTCTACTATTAAAACCGTCATTCATTTTCATTTTTATCTCATTTTTTCGATCAAATTTTTAACCATAAATTTATATTAAAATATTTAATTCTTAAAAAAAAAAAAAAAAAAAAAAAAAAA